CCCGCCCCACATAAGCATATGCACACCCTTTCCTCCCCTCGCACAATCTCACCTCCATTGGTGCTTCTTGACCTTTACCCGCCCTTTCCCTTCCTGTCCTAATTGCCCAGAGCACCCATATTCATTCCCTCTGTTGCAAAGCAGATATGACACTGCACTGGGATCACTTGTTGTCATAAGGGGCCATGGTGTAACTGACCAAAGACGCTTTGTGGATGAAGAGTACAAACTCTGAAATCGGGGGAGCTGTAAGAGCAGAAGTCAGCAGTGCTCCCAGTTAGAAGGGCAGCTCCCCTGGCCCAGCTCTCATTTGTACCCCCAATAAGGGTGAGGTTCCCATTCAGGACTTGAGAACCTCTCTTTTCCTTTCTCAGGAAAGGCTTATTACCTCTGCCACTGCCTGTCCCTCCCAAATGCTCAGGGGACTCACTAGACACAAGTAACTGGTAACAAGTCACTTCTGTTCCTCCCCTAAACTTGAAGCCTGCTTGAAGTCTATTCCCACATCTTCTATAAGTGCAATGTTTATCTTTTCTACCAAAACCAGAAAAGTCAGTTTTGCCACTCTCTAGGCAAATTCATTTATTCATCGTACGGGGTGGGGGAAGACCATGAGTATAATACGTTCTGGAATACAACTCCCAAAACATCTCTCAAGAAATTGTTCCTAAAGTTGTAACGATGAAAACATGACTGAAGAAAAATGCTCTTTCATTTTCATAAACAGGAGTCTTCAAAGATTATGAGAAATGTGCACTTGGGGAAGCCTCGAGAAAATAGAGCAATTAAGTAATGACTGGGAAAAGGTCAAGACATTGATGAACCAATAAGAAATTAGAAATAGACCCTATTTTTTTAAAGTATACGTGTACATATGACAAAAGGTTGGTAGATAGGAGGTCTTAGAATGTGGCTTTTGTACCTTGCTTTGGTATTTTATCTTTTTGAATCCCTATAGTTTTATATGGTCATGATTTGGAGTGTCGTGTGGTCAAAAGAATATGTGCCCCCAAAAAGGGACTATGGTAGAAGACCTGCCTGTTTTACAAACTCTTGTTTCCTGCAATGCCTTATTGACCCAGGAGTCTCTTGACAGAAAGCAGCAGAAATAGGGAGTGAATATCCGGATCCAACCTAGTGAGTTTTTCCAGCTATATCTCTCCTTGTCCAACTTGGCTATTTTACAAATGGAAACCATCACAGATACATGGTACAATGGAATGAGACGGAGACACAGAATCCAAAGCAGGCTCCAGGCTCTCCGCTGTCAGCACAGAGCCTGATGCAGGGCTCAAAACCATGAACTGTGAGATCATGACCTGAGCTGAAGTGGGATGCTCAACCAACTGAGCCACCCAAGGCCCCTGGAATGAATTCTATCCTGGATTTTAAAAGGCTCAGGGACTGCTTGCAGGACTGCCCTGATCAGCCACACCTCCTCTTTCAGCCTTTGTTTACTTATCCATAAAATCAAGTCATTCAAAGTAAGTTAGAACTAGAAGGGATCTTGGAGATTAGGGTGTGTCAGCTTTTAAAATGGGGTGCATGTCCCACCCCCAAGGGAATTTCACATAGTGACACTTTCTGCAAAAACAACTCAGATAGTGACAACTTTCTTATAGTGAAAACGACAAGCATAGTAATTCTGCTTTTTCAAAACATATTTTATGCCGTATCGTTCTGCTGCCTGTCTGCACTCCAATCCCAACTTCCACCCTCAGGTAGTTGAGAACCATTGATCGAGGCTGTCACAGTTATTCCAGCCACCCGATGGCTGACTAACAGTTGCCCAAGGTTCCATCCTGTAAGCCTTTGCTAACTTGAACTTCCTAAAGCTTCATGCCTCTCACCTTCCCCTTTTCTCCTGCCTTTATCAAATAAAGTACAACTTCACTGGTCTGGATTTCTCAGTGTGGTTTCCACTACCTTCCTAGCCTTACTTCGTGAGTGTCCCCTGAAGGAAGCGCACCTGTCACTACCTAAACCCTCTCCCTCCTCTGCCTGTCAAAGCTCAACCCATCTTCCATGATTCATCTCTCCTTCCCTGACCTCTAAAACAGATATGCTAACTCCCATCTCTGAAGTCCACGGGATTTTGTTTATACTTAGCTGTGTATTTGTCATACTTCAGTAAGTTAGGTGTTTCAGGATGGTGACTGTATCTTTACAGCTTCATATGACCCAAAGATCCTAATAAAGCAATGTTTTGAAACGTTTGACCATGATCCACACCAAGATATACATTTACATTGTGACCTAGTGTACACATGTGTGTGTGCTTATTTATAATTGAAACAAAACTTTCATAACAGCACATATTGCCTTTAATGATGCACTCTGATATTTTCTTTCTTTTCTGTTCTATTTGTTTCTTTTAATGCTGGTCTAAATTGATTTTATGACCCTTAATCACAGTTGTAAACAACACCATAATACAGCACATTGCACACAGTAGGTGTAATGTTGTGTATGTTTCATTCAATTAATGAGCCTTTTGACAAAATTATTATTGAAATATTACTGATCTGTGAATGTATTCAGCTAACCCATTTTCATGTAGTATGTTGCTTTAGATGTTAATTTCATTAAAAAATCTTTTACATTCTCAAAGTGATGCTGTTTTCTGTTTAATTTTACATGATGAATCAATCTGAGAAAGCAGTTCATTTTCATACATTTTTATAGTAAGATGAAGAAATGCAGTTGTACCATAATGATCATTGTGAAGGCAAAACTCCTCAGAGTAATGGATTGGACATATCATGATAGTTGGTGTTTATCGAGTGCTGAGTATGTGTCAGGCATTGTGCTAGGTGCTTTATGTACATTTCCTCTAATCCTTCGACAGCCCTACGGAATAAGAGATCATCTCCACTCTATTAGAATGCCAAATCAAACTGTAGTATTTTACTTTATTCAGTGAAAATTCTTAGCATTAAACTAAAATCATGAGTTCTGATTTGGTTTTATTTCTGAAAAGGTTTTATTTCCCACAAAGTTGCCTGTAATTTAGCAAGTTTTTTTTTTTCACAGTACGTTTTAACTGTGTTCAGCGCTTACGAAAAATGTCAGACTGATGGTGTTGAGAACGAAAGTTGTACCAACTGACGAGTCAATTTCTTGATGTTCATTTTATGAACTTCATTAATTGAAAAATGTAACAGAAAATAATGTTGGTTT